CTATGTCCTATATACTGTGAACATCACACTATTTTTTTTATATTTTATAGTCTGAAACTGTTATAATAACAATATTATAAGTACACTTGATTCAGTTACTTGGAACTTTGGTCAGAAATATTAAAGAATTGCATGGGTCTTGGAAGTTGAAAATAATCACATGTTTAAGACAGTTTTCTTTTACTTCAAATTGTTCCCTTCAGTTTAATATATAGGCAAATTTTAGTGGTTATTAATTATTAAGAAGTGGTTATGATACAATTAAAATAGAGTAGATTATTGATAGGTACTTAATGCCTTGCAATCATGCAATGGTTACCGTTCCAAATTAGACCATCTCTCTTCATAATTTGTAGAAGAATAATATACTAAGAACATTTGAGGCTTGATTATATATAATTCCTGAGTCTGGACAGATAAGTTTTTTGCTTTTCTTTTTTCCATATTTATACCGCTAGTATAATAGTAACAGTATCATATTTGCATGCAGTGTTGCAACTGACAAAATATTTTATCACACTCCCCAACAACCCTGTGACAGCACATTTTACAGCTGAATTTACTGAGGCAGGTTAGCTGGATCAGAGTAATTGGTAAAATTGAGCTTTGGATCTGAATCTTCTCAGCTAACTCCAGTACTCATTTCACTACATTTTATCTGTAAAGGTCTCCTTTTAGGAAGAATTGTTCACAGTCTTACAGTTTTTAACCCCAATAACTCTAGTTGTTATCCTCATGTCTTGCACATAATAGGCAATCATTAAAGAATTGTAGAAGGGAGGGAGGGAGGAAGGGAGGAAGGAAGGAAGCAAGGGAGGAAGGGAGGAAGGAAGGAAGCAAGGGAGGAAGGAAGGAAGGAAGGAAGGAAGGAAGGAAGGAAGGAAGGAAGGAAGGAAGGAAGGAAGGAAGGAAGGAAGGAAGGAAGGAAGGAAGGAAGGAAGGAAGGAAGGAAGGAAAGAAGGGAAGAAGGAAGGCAGGCTAGAAAGAAGGGAGCCCCACTGTGTGGGGCAGGATCTGGGGAGTCTGTAAATGGTGATCTTGGTGTCCAGATCCTTGGCTAAGTCAGAGAACTGTCCAGCCTCCCCAGGGATGGTCCTGAGTCCTGATCTATATGCCAGGAGAGACCAGGTCAAGAGTGAAACACACCAGAGTGTTTCATTGGTCACAAGTTACTGCTTTACTTATACTTTCTTCCTTGTAATATTGTAGTTGCTCACATCTCAGGGAAAGTGTGTTTGAGATAAAGTATTCATATAAATGGCAGACATAAAGGTAGTAGCTTCATATTTTGCACTATCCCTAATTGCTATTCATTTAGCAACATACAAGAAGATGACAAACTCCCGGATTATAACAAACTAGTCACGAAGTGGTGAGAGGCCGGTTTATTAAGTACCAAATGAGTGAGATCTACTTCACCTACTTCCAGGGACAACTGTGAGGGTCATCTTTTATATATCGAAACACATTCTACCCGCACAACCTTTAGCTTCACCTCTGATAAAGTCCTCCCAGCTCCCCCAGAAAGAATGTCGTTTCCATAGCTGGGTTTAAGAACCTGCTTTGTCTGTTTCATTAATTTCTGGCAGAATTCCTAAATGGAAACTGACTTAGCAATGCAGCATGTGTAAGCCAAGGAGAAAGGGCATCACTGCAAAATTTATAGATCTGCTTAAGACTGGCTGTGCACTGCATTGAACTAAGGAGAATAAAAGGAAACCTGGCAAAAATCTGAAGGGTTCATGTATCAGCATCTCCATCCCAGATTCTCCTGACAGTTACAACTTATTCCTTTGTTTGGCTGTTGGTTCAGAACAGCTGTACCTAGTCGGCTGACACTTGGCATCACCTGGGAGTTCATTACTGCTTTACAATTCCATGATCATTTTTGTTCTTGCTGCGGCTAAACGATAGAAATACTAATAAGCACAATAGTCTATGATCATATAAACATAGTTGCTACTGAATTTTCTCCAAGAATCATTTAACCATCAGATTTACCATTGCTAGCCTCAGGTGATGATCTAAGAATTTTTCAAATGAATGTGTCATAACTTGGTGCTGCAGGATAGCATTAAAAGGATAATCGTTTCAGAGGGAAATATTTTTAAAAACCAAAAAAGGGGAGATTATTTCCTTTCTTTTTAATCTTTTATGTAAATTCAATTTAGTAACGTAAACTGTATTATCAGTTTCAGGGGTAGAATTTAGTGATTCATCAGTTGCATATAACACCCAGTGCTCGTTACATCAAGTGCCCTCCTTAATGCCCATCACCCAGTTCCCCCATCCCCCCCCCACACACACACCCCCTCCAGCAACCCTCAGTTTGTTAAACTAGAGTTAAAGAGTCTCTTATGGTTTGCCTTCCTCTCTGTTTTCATCTTGTTTTATTTTTCCTTCAAGGGGGAATTATTTTTAGTTTTAACATACATTTATCTTAAAGTCCAAGGAATAGGTATGAGGTATCTGTCTGTTGCTTCTATCACTGCTAACCTTTATTGTTAGTTTTACAATGTATGTGAAGTGTCTGCTCTTGGGGGGAATGTTGGTTTCGTTGTTTTTAGTAAAAGCCTCAGGATTTGTTCGGGAAGAGCCTAGTGCAGTGTTTGCTGCTCAGCTTGGGTGAAGCGTAATCCTTGGCAACCTGTCAGGGATTCAGAGACCACTGGGGTCTGCTGGACGCTCAAGAGTTTCTCTGTGGGAATGACTGGAGACAGCACACAGCAGGTGGTCCGCTCAGTACTGTCCCCTGGGGCAGCAAGGGAACCCGGCCCAATTTGTCATCCCACAGTATCCTGTCAGCAGTTAAAAGTCTTAAGCACAAAACCTTGAACATTTAAGGCAAACTTCCTCCTAGTATCTTTTAAAAGCAATGTCCATGGATGGAAATATTAATACACAGCGCCCAAGTTTTTCACATGAAGATCTAATATTGCATTCAAATGATATGTTGTGTGATCAATAGAAATGTTGTGTACTCTATGATTTTACTAAACAAAATGATGCCAATTACATTGCCCTCTACCTGACAAAGAGGTGAGGGTGTAGCTGATAATACAGGGTAAAATCACCCCTCTTCCTTCTCTCCTTAGTTAGTTTTGTTTGGTTTGTAGATCTGTGAAGGATACCTTGAAATACATTTTGAAAGGACTTTTCTTTGGAGTATTAAAAAAAAATCGACCCAATTCTTAATTATTCATCATAATGATTCAAGAGTAACATGCAGCTTTGAAATCCCCAGATTTCCATTATCAAGATTCTTATCTGATTGATAAATACCTTCCCTACTTGCCCAGTAGTAATACCTGCTTCTACTCATTGAGTGCCAGGGTTGTGCCAGTTCCCTTACCTGGATTATTTATGATCCCTACAAAAATCCTGCAAGAGTACCATTACCATTGTTTTCAAGATGGGAAAATTGTATTCTGGGTGGCTAAGTGATACGCTCAAGGACTCAAAGCTAGTAGGAGATAAGATTTGAATCAGATTTATCTCCAAAGTGCAACTCAGCCTGACTCGTCTTTGCTGTTACCCCTAAAAGCCATGCTGAGAGTCATGAAATGGCCCCAAAACATGTCCTCGATGGGAGAATGCAAGGCAAGAAAGGCCTTATGTAATTTGGAAACCGAATAATCAGACATTGAGTATTTTTATCAATTAGAGTAAAAATCAAAATTGGAGAAGTCAAAAACGAAACAAAACAAAATGGGGACTTGTGAAGGAAAGGAAGAAGAAAAGCCAAAGAAAATGAAAAAAAAAAAGAAGAGAGAGAGAGATCAAATAAAAGTAAAAAAGGGCATCTGAGTTTCACATGCAAATAATAAAATAGAAATTGGGAAGGAAGTCAAGGAATTAAAAATCACTAAGAATGAATCAGTAGCCAGGAAAAAATTTTGTCTAGAGATAAATATATATATTTTTTCTTTTTCCTGAAGATCAATAGGATCTTTCTTGGCTTACCATAATGCTTTTGCTTTACATCCTGATAATATCAGTCATGAACATTATGTAAGTTAGACTGTTTTTGCTTGAGCTGAGCACTGCTTAATGGTGTTCCCAGTGGTGTAAGCTGGGAGAAGTTCCGGTACAAAATGCCCTTGAGTCTCAGGACCAAGAGCTTTGGCTTCATTTAACCCATGTGCCTAATGGCGGAGTCATCATTTTCAGTTTGCTCTCACATACCTGAAGTTTGACAAGTGGATATCAAGCTTATCATAGTTGTAAGCCAAAATTAAGACTAGTGTCTACTCCTAATTCAAAATGGATGAATTTTGTCATGCTCTTCTACTGTTGTAGCATTATTAGACTCTTTCCATTTCCTCAAAAGTATGGTGGCAGTCAGGCATTCAACGGTGTTCTTCTGAGTAGAATAGAAATTTTGAATAGAATGGCTCCTGATCTGTATGTTAATATGTATATAACTAATAATACATATTTTTATTAGGAACAAATAAGCCACCTTGTATTCTTCTTTGCCATATATATACATATATATATAGCCATATATATGGATATCTATATACATAATATATATAGATCTAAAAATTATAAGGTCAAATATACACATAAAATGTAATTTCCAAAATAAATAAGTAGTTGCCATTCAAAAGTGACCTTGAACTTGAGTTGCACTGACATGACTTTATATCATTATCTTTGAGCCTTCCTGGAAAATATATTTTACTTACTGGCAATTGGTCTTTTCTCTTTTCCAACTTCCTTAGAAGATAAAATATTGGTTATAAAAAATGTTGAGCCTTTTTCCTATTTCATTCTAATTAAATTAATTAACTGTGATTACCCTTTGATAATTTTATTCTATTGAATTACACCCAGAAAGTACTTCACTTGTTTGCTGTTGTTTATTAAACCTGAAAGTGTAGTGAAGTCTGCCATACCTTATGTGAACTCTTCCTTTTAAGAGGATTTAAGACTAAAGGTTGTTGAGAAGAGGGAAAGACACATGTAAACCTTCCCCTTCTTTATCTTCTATCCAGCTACATCTACATCTACAACCGGGACAAGCCATCTTGTAAAGTGTGCAGAGAAGGAGAAAACTTTCTGTGTGAATGGAGGCGAGTGCTTCATGGTGAAAGACCTTTCAAACCCCTCAAGATACTTGTGCAAGTAAGAAAAGCAATCCTCTTTGTGGCTTATGTCCGTAACTGCTTCTTTCAGATGACTCCATGTCTCATGATGTCTTGTTGCTTCTTTTCCCGATTTTGTTGCATCCTGTTGAATAATGCTGTTTTATTTGTAGAGTGTTTTGAAAAGTTCACACCATTTGTCATCTCCTCTGTTACATCCAGAATTGTTTTTTGCTTGTTTCAATTTTCTTTGTGCCTTTATATTTATAAAGTTGCTTTCCCCATGGTTTTCCTCACTGGTACCTAGAAGAGATGTGCAAATATCACAGAGGCCTATAACTTTTGAAAGCTCCTTCTCCATCCAGTGTATGAATGAGGCTGTAAGATAATGTGCCTTTTTACCCCAATGATCACCTGCAAAATGAATAGGACAACTAAAAGCAGCAGAAGGGTAGAAGATTCTTTACTTATGCATCTGTTACACTTGGCATTAGTTTATTGGTTTACAACTATTCTAAAAATGGAATTTAGGTTGCTCTCACTAATAGGAAAAAAAAAATTGCACATGTTTGGAAATGCATTTAGTGTGTGTACCATCATTGTGTGTAGAAGGCAGAGTGTTCTTTCATGCACTGCCGTTGTTTGGAGATATATTTAGAATGGTGCTCTTTCTAGTGACCTGAGGAAGTTGATGCACCATTAAGAAGGATCACAGTCATTCTTTCTTAACAGGCAGAATGAAACAATGATATTACCAGTACATTAAATATTTAAACCTTGCAGTTAAAATTAGTAGGTCTTATTAAAACCACATGTTTATTGTGCCATGCCTTTTAAGTCTCCTCTTGATATTCCGGCTGTATGTGGGACATGGACGCATATAATGTGATGTGGTAAAAATGTGTAATGTCCCATTGAAATGATGAGAAATGCGTATTTATTTTTCAGTTGCCTGATGTCTGTGTCCCATTTTTCTAAAGTAGCAGTGATTATCATAAAGGAGGAAAAAAAACATGCCATCATAAAAACTACCTCCAGAATATGAGCTTGTGGCTTACATGTGGACAAAGAAGAGCAAGTTTGTCAGAGACACAGCTGAGCTAATAGAGCAATTAGCAAAATGGAAAAAAAAAGGCACAAGAAATAATTAAGAAGGCCATTTCCCTTTCACATCATATAAATAGTATAGAAATATTTATGTGCCAGTTCTAAGAAAACCTTTTATTTTTTATAAGTTACAAAGGACATCATTAAAGACACATGTTTTAAAATCATCACATCAAACAAAAATACCATTTTTGTGGGAAATGTTTTGTCACACCCTGTGCTGTTCTAGACAAGGGCTGTCTGTAGGGTGTGTCATGGGACCTCAGGTACTAAGTACAAGTGAACAAGTACCTCCCAGAACCACTTTCTTGCCCTCAAAAGCTTTTTTTTTTTTTGTTAAGCTCTTATAAAAGAGCAGAAGTGGTTCCAAGAGAAGACAAGTTTTGGTAGTTGTGTAGCTGATTTTATCAATGAAGACAGGCAACTAATAAGATTAAATATAGTCTTTTAGAGTGAACAAAAGACTAAGAATCACAAGAATTAGAATTCTAATCTCAATTACCAAACATCTCTTTCACAGAGATAGGTAATAGCCTTAAGCCAAGATAAAACTCATAGGTAAAGGCCTTTTCAAAATTTGAAAGCAAGATGAAAATGAAAGAGCATGTAGAAAATTATTTCTTCCGGGTCCAAATTACTTCATATGACAATGAGTGTTTATTGGTTTAACAGTAATCCTAGAGATTCACTTTTAGATCACGAGTATATTGAAATCTACATACCTATAGTAAAGAATAAAAGTTGGTCAGTTTTGGTCTTTGGTTCTGCCGACTTGCTGTGAACACAACACAAACATGGCACCCCTATATTTATCATATTGAATTGAGATGAAGAAATTTTATGATCTCCTCCAAGGTTTTCTCTCATCGAAATAGAAACAAACAGAAGCTGAGAATTATAATCTATAAAATATGAGGTTCATTTATTACATGGGGAAATTTTGTTATTCCGTCCTAATCTTAGGCAAACCACCTAATTATGTTTTAATAAATCGCCTTGAAAAAAAAAACATTGAAATTACAGGTCCTTAAGTTCTCCTTCTTTTTAAACAACTGCACCCAGATTACCTATGTCTCATACAACTACTTCTTGAGGAAAGCATCTGAGACCACTATATTTTAATTATAATAATGAAACATGATCATTTTTCATCATCGTCTTTGCAAAGATTGACAAGCTGCGTAGGTGCATCTGATAGTTTCTGAATACCTCTAAAGAACCAGCACAGTGATTTTCCACATATTAATTTCAGCTGTTCTGCAACCCTCCCACGTCCTACACAAAACATGCAATCACATAAGTGCTGTTCATTTGTTCCATTTTGGTATTATGCCAGCAACCGTAATTTTTTTTCACCCACCAGTTTCTCATTAAATTTTAAGCCCAATCCAGAAAAAAAAAATACTTGCTGTATATTTTTTTAATCTTGAAGTGAAATGTTTGTTATTCCTCTAATAAATATTAAAGCAGCAAACCATGAATGAACACTCTGTATCCCCCAAGCTAATTGTCTAGTGGGTTATGCTTGTCTTCCACTTCTCAGCAGATTGGCATCATAATTTTACTGGGTTGGGTTTTGGGTTTTTTGTGGTAATTATAATCTTTCAGAAAAGTGTTAAATGCTTATCACTGGATCTTGTTAGAAACAAAATCTTTGACACCTATGATTTTGATAACTGTTTTACTCCCTTCTGGACCATCTTTTTATTGAACCGTCAAAGCAGGCTAGTGCCTTGAGGAAAGAATTAAGAGTATATTTAAAATCCAGAATATTTCAGGCCTTTTTTGTTGAATGAAAGTGTTTTTTTTTTATCCTTGTATTAAAAACATCTTTAACATAAAAAAAAAAAATCACTATTCAGAATTGAAACAAAGACATGTAATATACCATGTCTTTTGATAGTATACTGTTCACTAGACCACATGAATAGACACAGAAAACATTAAAAAAAAATGCTACATTGGCTCATCATAGTCCTGTGTACGAAGCCAGTTCATAGTTTCCATATGGTCCATCTGTCTAAAGCAAAACATTGCTGAAGCATGAGGCACATCGTTCAAAATCAACTTTATCCCATGACTCAAACACCACAAGCATGGAAGTTTCCAAATCGTCTCTCTGGTCCCCTAATCCACTGTTGTCTTCTTGGGAGTTGAAGTAGAAGACTGTATAGCAGATCTCTTTTGTCTCTCCACTTAGAACAAGGTGTTCCAAATGGATTAACCATGTAACAGTTAAACACTTCTCTGAGGAGAGGTTTGCTGGTTACTTGGACATTCCCTTGGGGACTGTGTGGGAATTTCAGCAGTGGTTCTCATCTTCTATATTGCTCTTCTCTCCATAGTAATTTAAAATCTATCCTGGGGAAAAAATAGTTACTATTCCAGATCACATAAAGACAGAAGAATCATTCCATCTTTCACCTTTTGATGCCCTGTGTAATCGCATGGTTCAAAGAAACAAGATAATTTGAAATAATGTCGAGATTTTCCTCTTTGCTTTTCCCCTTGTTCTTGTATATCAATTCTCTGAGTAGTTTCAGTAGAGAACTATTTTGGAAGATATTGTTGTGATTTTTTTTTTAATCTAAAAATGATTTTATACCAGACCATATTTTTTAACCCATTATGTTGTCCCATGGACAGATGTGGTTTTCGCATGAGGGGATTAGAGTCTTAACCACCAATTTTGGTGAATGGTCTTGAGTCCTTTCACTTCAACTCTCTGGACGATATCTTTATGTATAATATAGAGTTAATATGTTCTCCAAATTTCTTCCCAGGGAGTCCATGAAATTAAATGAATTCATTTCTGCTAAAGTATTTCTAACTCTGGGGAAGCAAGATTTTTTTTTTACTTATAATAAAAAGTAAATGGTAGTATTACATTTTCTCTGTAGACATTAGACAAATACATACACCTGTCTTAATAGACTATGCTAGCATGTTTAAAAAAAAAACAACATTTCTTCATTTTACTTAACATTCACAGTTTTACTTGGTTTGGTGGGGCTACCAGCTAGCTTTGTAACTTTGCATTTGACAGATCATGTAATATCTCTGACCATTATCTTTCTTATAAGCAGAAACCAGAACAGAAACAAACACAAAACAAAAACCAGAAACAAAACACACAAAACTTGGGAAGATGGGAGTTGCCTTCAAACATGAACTTACGATTTTATATCATTTATGAAGCTGTGTAGTATATATAAGGGCCTATAAAAATACACATAACTAAGAGATAAAGTAACAACAAATACGTTATAATAAACTCAATAAGTGAAACATTAAGCATTTGTTTATAGAACAACTATATCTATGCCAGGCATTTTTGAAAACACAGAGAAAATGGAAGGCGTGGTCTCTGGTCCCTGGGAAGTTAGTCTGTTTAGGAAAATGAAGTAGCTAAAATAGTAAATCAATTAGAGTGAATATATCCCAAGTGGTGCAGTGCTGATTATTATGATAATGAAAATTGAAAGAAGGAAGAGAAAAGACGGGAATAACTTGGAGAAGACTCTATAAACATAGCCATCACTTACGGAGTGTTTTCCATATACCCGACAGGCATTGAGACTGCAATAATCTTTCCTGCAAGACACAGTCACATGCATAGCTAGACCAGCAGCTCCATTCTGGGATGCAAAACAGCTACAAAACAAAACAAAACAAAACAAAACAAAACAAAAAACAACTTAGACGTGAGGACCAGTTTATGAGTTCCAAAGGCCAGGCAGATGACCTTGGACATTGTGAGAGCTAATAGGGAGTATTAGTGACTTCTGGAGCAGGAGAGTGACACAGTAAATATAGAACAGATGTTTAGGGAAGACAGACTTCTGTACAGGATAGAGATATTTGGGGACTAGGTAAGGTGGGGTGAGAAAGAGACACTAGCTAAGGTTAAAATTTTATAAAATCTGGGTGCCT